TTTTTTTCTTTTCATTTGTCTCCAAGACCAGATACCAAAAGCCACCAGTCAGTCAGTCATGTGTCCCTGGAAATGCTGTTGCACTGGACTGGAACCCATTAGCTATGGCCAAGTCAACAGGTTATGACACCTGCTCACATGGTCCTTATCTTCTTATCCAATAGAGGTATTAAGATACAAAAAGAACGTGTAAAGTGAACAAGGACATGTCTGACAGAAGGAAGCAAAAGGTTAAATGAAAAACGTGTATCTCTATTTTACGGGGTTTGGGGGGCATATTTGCACATGCTGTGATTGTGGGGGCCTGCCAGGGTTCAGGAAGCAGACGCTGTCAGTGTGGGTGCATTGGAGGGACCCCTTGTTAGGGAGGAAAAGAGCTGAGGTGAATCCGGACTTTGTGAGTACATTATTTCAAGTCTAGGTTGATCCACCTGCCTTTAAGTCTTATTTTATAGAAGCCGAGGGTTGGTTATTTTGAGATTATTTAGTGTCCCAGACGTTTCCTATAAACATTGTGATTTTATTCATTAACACCAAGAAGGTAGGTTTTCTAAAATATAATTAACAATGGTTGAAAAACTGAAGAGACAACTCATGATGAATACGATCAGTAGCTCTGTAAATCTGCAGTTCTTATGAGCTCCAAAACTTGGAGATGAAGGCAACACAGGTCTCAGCTGTAAGAAGCGTAGTTTGACTCATGTTCTCTGCGTCCTCCTTCCTTCCCTTTTGAGTGCAGTTTCTTCAGAGCTTGCCGACTGTAGCATCACCCCATCGACCTTTTAGCACACAGTAGTTCTGCAAGAACATCCCATCACATCATTCCATGAAACGAAAAAAGTGAAATCCTGCCGATCAGGGGTTGAATATTCCGTAAGAAGCATGGCGTGCTTAACTTTCTGGATAGTTTAATTCCAATTAAATATTTCGATTAAAAAATTAAACATAACCCATAAGAAGAGGGTTACCTCTGAAAAAATTTTAACATAAAAAGATGAGCCTATTTTTCTAGGCAGAAAAAAATATAATGACGCGTAACTAAAGTGCGAAATGCAATCCGTAGAGAGTGATTCCCTATTCTCTTCCATGAGAGATGGATACCTACGGAAGTACGTGCCGACTCCTACAAGTAGGGGAGCCTCGGAAGAGAACACAAACTAGACGGCTCCGAGAAGCCACTTGACTGCTTTTCCATATCTTCTTTTAAAAATATATTAAATCTTAAACCCCAAACAGGAACCAGATAGAATTAAACATGATGGTGGCCACCAGGTGGCAGCGGTACCTCAGAAACGTTCCTTGAACAACGACTGGAACAACATTCCTTTGAAACAATAGCCTTTGCCCTATTTCTTCATCTCCTCACCCCAGATTCATCCCACCATTTTCCTATATTTATAAATATTGTTAGTGGAATCATCATCTCTACTAATAGCTTTATTCGTTTTCATTCTTACCTCCTAAGGAAAATAACATCATCCCCACTAAACCCCAACTTTCACTTCTCTTAGGTGCTGTATGTAATTTCTAGGACTTTCTTCTTTTTTATTAAATCATATTTGTGTACATTAATTCTATCACGGGATACAGTGTGTCGTTTCCATATACAATTTGAAATACTTTCATCCAGTTGGCCAACATAGCCATCATGTCTTTCTCATAATTGTTGTGTTAAGACATTTATATTTGACATTTAGAAAGGTTCACATGTACCCTTATAGGATAAATCATAGGTGTGATCCCTGCAATCACCCTCCCTTCACCCATCCTCCTCCCTCCCCTCCCCTCCCTCTCCCCCTTCCCAGTATTCTTGGACTCCATTTGGATTATAGCTTTCCTATGATAGCTAACAATTAGTTTCATAATAGGGTTCAGTACATTGGATACTTTTTCTTCCATTCTTGAGATACTTTGTTAAGAAGAACATTTTCCAGCTCCATCCATGTAAACAGGACAGAGGTAAAGTCTCCATCTTTCTTTGTGGCTGTATAGTATTCCATGGTATACATATGCCACAATTTATTGATCCATTCATGGGTAGATGGGCACTTGGGCTTCGTCCGTGACCTAGCAATTGTGATTGGGCTGCAATGAACCTTCTGTATTGTATCTGTATTCAGATATCTGTATTGTAGCGTGATTTTTGGTCTTCTCAATATATACCTAGCAAAGGAAATATAGGATCAAATAGCAGATCTATATTTAGTTCTCTGAGTGTTCTCCATACGACTTTCCAAAAGGGATGTATTAGTTTGCATTCCCACCAGCAGTGTAGAAGTGTTCCCTTTTCTCCACAACCCTGCCAGCATCTTGATTTTGGGATTTGGGGATATGGGCTAATCTTACTGGCGTTAGATGATATCTCAAAGTAGTTTTGATTTGCATTTATCTGATGATTAGGGAAAATATACTACTGGGACCTCCTCAAATTAAAAAGCTTCTGCACAGCCAAGAACACAGTAAGAAAAGCAAGTAGATAGCCTGCAGAATGGGAAGAGATATTTGCTGGTTATTCTTCCGACAAAGGTCTAATAACCAGAATCCACAGAGAGCTCAAACATATTAGCAAAAAGAGAACAAGGGATCCCATCTCAGGGTAGGCAAGAGACTTCTAGGACTTTCTTGATAGTTTGGGGGTTTTTTGTGGCATTCTCAACTTTATTTCCTCTTGTGTTCATTTTCTCTTGTCTCTATAAATATGCCCGGAAGTATCTGTGCAGTACTGCTCAGCTAGGCATTAAGATCAATCTTGGCTATTTTCCTCCTCATCTCATCCTTCCTGTACCATAGAAAGACTTGCCCTAAGAAGAGAAATATGAACTATTTATTTTTAGTTCCCTGTTCCTCAATCTGCTAAATCGTGTCTTCTATCTCACAGAAGTAGAAAAAGAAAAAAAAAGCTATGGAGCATAAATCTCGTATGATTTTTGTCTTCTCTTAACATTTCCTGTCAATTTGCCTTTAAGGATGTGGAGCTTTGAGAATTTCTTCATCTTGTTCTTTCTTATTGTTTCTTCAGCTCGGGTTAAATGAAGTCCATACCCAAGGGTGCTTCTTTAATGAGATGTTATTGCCAACACGAGCTTCAAATATAAACTGCCTTACTTCTTAAAACAACTGTGCCACTGCAGAGAGTCAAGAATAAAACCAAGAAAGGAAACTGAAGGTTAACGTGTAAGACATCTCGACCAACAATCTGAGAATTTTTAGAGGAAAGGTTTATTTACATGTTTCCCAGAGTCTGTGAGTAAAAAGGGGAGGCTTTGGTAGGGCTTTGTTACAGACAGAAACTGATACACCGGAGAGGCTAAGGCAGAACTGTCAATTATATTTTCTTCCTAGCTGGGAATCTGCATCAGACACAGATGTCGAATTGAGGAGAAGTGTTATGTGCAGTGACACATGCAGATTCCTGAGGAATCTCTCGGGTAAGATATGCTACGTTTCATGGATGGATGGAGAGGATATCGTTGCTTAGAGAGCATTAGCCAATACTCATTGACATAGAAAGTTGGTTCATGGGAAGGTTTCTCATGCTTCCCAAAGTTCCATGTCTGGTTATGGGAAAACTTAGGTTTCTGGAACAAACATTGCCCAGGTGTACAGTGTAGTTATTAAATATTTATTGCACATAGTACTATGGTAAGGGATGAATGACATATGGGATGCAACCCACCTTATATGATATGTGATAGACGGTAAGGGATCGATGTATGTAACTTCCCTGCTCCAAATAAGAAATTGCTGTAAGCTTCAAGTAAGACATATCTGCATTAAAATTCTGCTCCTCCACTTACTGGCATAAGGTTTTTGACATTTGTAAGTTTAGTTTTCATCTCTGTAAAATGAAAATAGTATAGTAGCACCTAACTTGTAGGCAAGGTCCTTTTTTAGGATTGGCCATGTCTGCTATCAATAATCAAAGAATTGAATCTATTAATATTATTATAAAATATTTTCAAGTATAGTTGATGAAATACATCTAAACAAGGGAAAAAAGAACATGAAGCCGGTCATTACAACTGATTATTAAGCTAGGCACAAAAGAATTATTTATTAAATTCTTTAGGACACAATATTTATATACTATTCTCTTCTCTGAAAGGAATTTATCTCTAGAAAGAACTGAGAGTAAACTTGAATAACTTTCTCTTATATTGGGAGGAGGAAAGTTATTTAAGATAATTAGGTAATAAAGGTAACTAGACTTAATAAAATTATTAACTGTCCACTCTACAAATTGTTTTTTATTCTATTACTGTTTTCGAATGTACTTAATTTCAGCCAAGAACTTGATTCTTTTTAAAAAATCATAATTAGTAAAGAAATTTATAACTAGGGGTCTATTTCTCCTTAATGAAAAAGTAGAAGTCAGAAGCTAAGTTGGATTTTTTTATCCTTTATAAATGCATTTTTAATACATTTTTATCCTTTAGCACTGAACAAATACATATTATAAGTATACAAAATGAATGAATTTTCAGTTAGAGAGGAAATATTCAATTAACACGTAATGCCCAAGTAGGACTACCAAATATCCAATCTGTGTTTATGTCATTATCTAAATACTTTGACTGTAAAGATAATTTTCTTACAGTAATGACAAATAAAGCAATAAAACTCGATTTGTTGATAGAAGTGGCCAAGGTATTACCCACACATTCAGTTTTGAAAAATTCAGCATGTAATTTTTTTTATATAGAAAGAAAACATTAACATGGCCTTGAACTCCAAGCATAATGCTTTCATGAACAGTTGCAAACTAAATTTATTTTTCTTCATGTTTTTTGTGCGTCCAAAATTCAATTACAATGTACGCCATTGTCATCATCTCTTCTAGAGAAATAATAAATAAAATCTCGCCCTTCCCTGCTTCACTGTCGCCAAGGACTGTGCAAATTCAATTATGAAACCTCAAAATACACTCTTGGGAACCAACCTGAAAAGGTCCTATTAAATAGGTATCTGCGTAGGTATCTTAAATTGTAGGATTTAACAGATATGTCTGTGACAATAGCTTAACTCTAGAGCAAAAAAGAATGTAAATTATTTATCACTTTTTTCTTGAGCTCCTGACAACCTAACCTACACATTCAGATAATGTATAAAATGCTACAGACGTGTTTAGACATGAAA